CCACCATCCAACTTGACTAGATGGATATGACATTACCATTAGAAAGAAAAAATGAGCATTAAATTTTCATGGTATGGCCAACATTGAGGCCAACATTGCTTGAAGATGTCCTAACTCTATAGAAGTAATAAAAAACACCACTAAGTTTAAAATCAGCATAATACTTCAACCCTAAATAATCATCAAATACAAGCACAAATCCCCATCAATCAACAAACCATCCAAATCACAAAACAAGGCTAGCCAAACATGCACCTAGATAAAACCTTAAAACTCTATGAAATTTGATGCTTGCTTGAAACCTCGTTAGCTTTTTTTATAATTTTATGAATTTTTATGTATGACCTATATAAGTCTAACATAACTGATTGGCAAAATTTCAAATCAAACAAACAACCCTAACTATAATAGAGCTATATGTCAAAATTATCCACCACCATCTTAGTTAAACGTAATGATTAGGAACCCATCTTAGTCGAATGCAATGATTAAAAACAAAGCTGTAATTGATCATTCTAAGGATATAAGATAACATCCTCTAGTCTACAAAAATACAAGGTTGGAGAAAAACTTCTCAAGTTTATTAACTTCATTATTCAACAAAAGGTAGTATAGAATTACAACATAAAAATGCTTAAATATTGGCTCCTAAAAAATCTAATTAAAATCCAAATAGAAAAATAAATATAACTAGGAAAAAGATTCCGGATAAAAATCGAAGTCGATTAATAACTTAAAAGTCCAATTTAAACTTAATAAAAACTAATTAGCATAGTCCAAATTAAATATGAATTATTATTTAATTATAGATCCATAACAAATATTGACCTTTAATTAAAAATATATCCAAACAAACTAAGGACCAACATAAAATCCTAATATAATAAGGAATTCTTGAAAAAATAAATAAATAAACAACTAAATAAAATAAATAAAGACTAATTATGTTGGCCTCTCCAAATTAAATAATTAAGGAATCCTTATGATTTGGGTTGCATAATGAATGAGTGGTGTTTGTGCTTGTGTTTGAGGCTTATTTTGAGAAAAATTATTTTGTGTTGGTTTGGACTTTGTAGGTATTTTTGATTGCTTCTATAGAAAGTTAAGGCATTTTTATCAATATTGCATCGGTTTGATATCGGAGCTGAGGTGAGTATCCGTGTGTCCATAAACAGATTATAACAATGGAAAACAAAATAAATAAATGTGGTTGAGGTACAAAAGGAGATCAAAAGATAGATATTAAAGAAAGAAAAGTTAGAGAAAGAGCTTTTGCATTGAAAACTTAAGGATGATTTTATATTTGTACAATATTACACTAAAAAATTAAAGAGGGCGTTACAACATAAGATTGCATATAGGCAACAAAAAATTGAATTGTTAAAGTAGATGGCATGTTTGTAAAAATAAAATGATGATTTTAAGAGAGAAAGTCTGAAGGGTCGGTGACCAAAAGTTTAAGGGGAAAGGGGATGAAGTTCGAGGGAACAATGTCTTTCATCTTAAAATAAAAGAAGAAAAATTCCTATGATAAAATGAGAGTATTGAAGTTGATTTTTTTTTAAGAAGATGATATTGAAGAATAGGTTAAAGAGGAACAAAAGCATCCAAAGTTCCTACAAAAGCACCGATATTCGTCGCGACTTTGACAATGCTAAAGACACTAAAACTTTCAACAACAAAGTGGACAAAGCTAATTTCATTGACAAGTTAACTAAAATTGATGTTCATAGTAGTCTTAAAGATGAGGTGAGTTTTTGCCTACCCATAGGCCGATTGTGAATATAGAAACACAAAATAATATAAATATGGTTGAGGTACAAAGGTAGATAAAAAGACTGATATTAGAGAAATAAAAGTTGGTGAAAGAGCTTTTGTGTCGAAACTTAAAAAGGATTTTATATTTCCACAATATGAGAGTAAAGAATTAAAGTGGACTTTACAACATAAGATTGCATATGGGTAACAAAAGATCAAATTATTGGAGTAGATGAGATGCTTGTAACAATAAAATGATGAGTATAAGAGGAAAGGCTAAAAGGTAATTGATTAAAAGTTTAATGGTGAAGGAGATAAAGTTTGAGGGAATAATCTTTTCCATCCTAAAATAAACAAAGAAAAATTCCAACAACAAATTGAGATTCATGACGTTGAAATTTCTAAAGAAGATGGTATTGAAGAAGAGGTTAAAAAGGCTGAATTTATTAGTGATGAAAGAATTCAAAGTTCTAGTAAAAATATTGATATTGCTACTGAATTTTATGACGTTGTAGACACTAAAATTTTTAAGAACAAAGTCGACAAAGTTTATTTCATTGACAACTTAGCTGAGGTTGATGTTAATAGTCACCTTGAAGCTAAAATTTATTATGGTAACAAAAGGTAATGATCAAAATTCTTGTTAGAAATAAATGACCTACAATGAAGGAAAGGTCTAATGTTATTAACAAAGAGAAGCACAATGATTTCACTTCCTAAACACACTTGGTCCGAATTAGTTTTGAATGTACAACATGCCATAACATTGAATTATGAAGGGGTAGAGGTTGATGTAATATAATGTCATCAACAACTAGTTTGACGACAACATTATTGTAAGGGGTTCATTACATTAAGGGAAATAACAAGTTTAAATATAATTGAGGAAAAAGATTAAAAAAGAGTCACCATCTAGTATTAATGATTGCTAGAAAATAAATGAGTAGTCTCCATAAAGTTATGGAGTAAGTGATTATTACATGTAGGGAAGACAAGAATTGTCATATCTTGTCTTACTTAAGATAAATTGCATTGTATACCAGTTTGAACATAATTTTTAGTTTTACTATAACGAAATTCTACACCTATTCATATTTATTAGTCAATCGAGTGATTTGAGATTTGACTAGTTAGAAGCCTTATCCTCACTCTAAAATGCAATAAATCTAAATTCAAGACAACTTAGTTAAGTCATCATATAAAGATAGGTTCAGAATAAAAATAGTCTTGGGTTTTAGATCGATGAGATCTTAAGATTCACAATTTCATAGGCAGAACAAGCAAAAATGGTCTAGGGGTCTAAATTGATGCAAACTCAAACGTCTTGATTTCATAAGCAAAATTCAAGCCAAAATAGTCTAGGTGTTTAAACCAACATAAACTCAAGTATTGGAATTTTACAAGAAACTTTAGGAGAAAAATGGCCTAGGGGTCTAGACCTACATGTACTCAAGTGTTGTAGTTTCACAAAAAACATAAACAAAAACATACAACTTTAGAAAATATGTGAAAACACATGGCTTTATTAAATATATATTAAAACATGCAACGTTGTTTATAGGCATGGAAACACATTTTTGTAAAATATGCATAAAAACATATGGCTTTGAAAAATACACAAAAACATAAGGCTTTAAAAGATATATGCAAAAACATGTGGCTTAGTTTAGATGTGTAAAAACACCACGCCTTAATAAAATATGCAAAAAATTGTGGCTTGATTTAAATGCAAAAAAGAAATAGATAATTTAATAAAAATACATAAAAAAAACATGAGTTTGTAAATTAAGCACAAAAACATATAGCTTTGTGGAATGCATTAAAACACATGGCTTTGTAAAAAAAATTGTAACTTTGCTTAGATGTATGAAAACACATGGCTTAATTTGTATACATGAAATGAAAACTCATAACTTAATTGAGTGCTTGAAATGAAAACTCATGCTTAATTTGGATGTATGAAATGAAAACGCATGGCTTAATTTGTATGCATGAAATGAAAATTCAAGGTTTAATTTTAATACATGAAATGAAAAATTATGGCTTAATTTTAATACGTGAAATAAAAACTCATGACTTAATTCATATCAATAGTCAATGATTGGTCACCGACAACAAAAAACACATATTCATGGAAATCGTGGACAAAATAGGTCATTGAAAACATAAGACATATTCAAGGCAATAGTTGACGAAATAAGTCATCGATGATGAATTACATATTCATGAAAAATCACACCAAAGTATATATTCAAATCAATCATTGACGAAGCAAGTCATTAATGACACAATGGTTATTCATGACAAATCACACCAAAGCATATATTCAAATCATATTCACATCAAGCACATATTCAAATCATATTCAAACCAAGCATATATTGAATAATCATATTCATATCAAGTGCATAATTCTCAAGCTCACACCAAAACCGACACTTATCTCAAATAAACCTCAAATTTAAATTCTAGTTCTATCCTCTTCCTTCATTGAAAAGAATTGAATCGACCTTATTTCACATCAAGATGCTCGGGGTCTTAAACTTCTTGGATTCGATATGCAATGATGCATCTCAACACACTTTAACAATCTATCACATTGCAATTAATTCATATTTCACATTATTGTAATTATTCTAAAAGTAATTAGGGAGTTTAAATCTGTTTGGAAATTTTACTTAAAAGTCAATTGGATTATGAAGAACCATTAAAGGGGTCAATTTGTTCTTATCATGTGAAATTACCAAAGTGACCCTTGAGTTAGTTTTGATTTCTTCAACTTCGATGAAGAAAATAATAGTTATGATTAGCTAAGGAGGAAAAAGCTATTGATGCCCATTGTAAAAATAGATCCTACATCCTTTTTCTTCCTTCTAAAGAATTACTCGAAGCAAAAATCAAGAAAAAAAAAACCATAAAATGTGTATTTACTCACTATCAAATTGGTAGTGTTTAGGATCTCTTCTTACTCGACCTAGCTTCTATTTCTAAATTTTTTTCGTTGATTGGTTAATAGTCTATCGTGAGTTAGGGCTCATGGTAGTGGTTGATGTTATTAAGCTAGAGAAGTTAGTTGGGTTATGTAGCAATGGTTGTGTATGGTAGTGTGGTTTTAAAGTGAAATTAGTCCGACAATCGATAGTATTTGGAGAATGGAGTTGATAATGATGAGCGTTAAAAGTGCTTTGGCTAGCATTTTGGTGAATGATGTTTTGAGACCATGTTTAATTGATGAGAGGTGGCTAGTCACCGTTGTTGATAATAGTAGTAGAGAGATCCGTGAGGTACTTAGCCTTTAGAGGGATATTAGTGAATGGAAGGCTATCGGTAAGGTGGCTAATGTTAGGAGGGTTAGAGGATAGTGGATGTAAGAGATCATCATGGTGGAAGACGAGGTTTGGTGAGATAGGGAGATGGCGACCGACATGTGTATGGCGGAGAGGGAGTTTCTTAAGGGTTTTAGGTGGTAGCTCTATCTTTTTGGTGAAAATAGCTTTCCCCCTTTAACAAAAGAGAAAAAAATGAATTTATAGTGGGATTTTAGGCTAGCGGCTCTCTCTTAAGGAAAATGGTAGTTGTGAAGGTGGTTTCAATAGTGGTATGAGTAGAAAAGATGGTGGTCCACATATGTATGGTAGAGAGGGATTGTCTTTAAGTTTTTGGCTAGCAACTCTATCTTTTTGCTAAAATAGCTTTGCTTCTTTAAGAGAAGAAAAAGGATGAATTTACTATAGGATTTTATGGTTTTGAAAAAAATTACATTTCAATCCTCTATTTCCCCTAACCTTTTCACTTTAATCCTTCATCTCTTTATTTATATCAACTATGTCCTTAATTTAACTCTTTTTATTCCTTTTTCTTTTATTTTTCTCAATTTACCCAAATTCACTCTCAATTAAAACCTTGACTTTTTATTTTTTCAATTACACACTCGGTTGAACTCTTTTTTCATCTTTATTCTCTCTTTTTTTCAATTTATATTCGAATACCACTTTTTCAATTTATTCTCTTTTTCTTTTTATCTCTTGTTTTTCCTTTTTTTTTTCCAAAAAAATTGACTATTTTTCTTCTCTCATTTTTTTATGCTTGATGATTTTTAAAAAACCCTAAAAAAATCATAACCTTGGAAAAAATAGGAAAAAAAGCTATAATTTGGGAAAATGGAACAAAACGTTGAATTTTTTGGTATTTTGGATTTTTTTTATTTTTTTTGGAAAATTTATAAAAATTGTAATGTCAAAAAAATCGAGGTCGACTAATAGCGTGTTGTGTCGTTAACAAATTACATATTTATATTTTTCATACCGAACCCAATCAAAGGACTATAATTAGGGCGAGCAAAGGTTAAACCCATAAGAGAGGCTAAATGAATTATTTCTTTTTGTTTGAATGTTCTTGTGGTGTTAAAAGAAGGGGTTTTGTGTTTAGAATGCTTGAAAAAAATAAAGTAAATTGAAAAAACAATATTAAAAGAATCTCGGTTGAACTTCGGTATCCACTTTTGATTTGGTTGCTGATCACCGATTAAATAATTAACTTATCCTAAGCATGAATATTCACCGTAAGACAATAACATGTATGTTGTCTTTAGTTTTTTTTACTTAATCATTAATCGAATATACAATACCTAATTAATTCCCTAGTTACTCGAACAACCTACTAAGCACTAGATAGATTTATTCCAATAATAGCATTAATTAGAGAAAGATAGGTGAAGCTAAGAAAACTTTCTAAGCACTAAAGAAGATGTAACGTAGTTCTATGTTTTCCAAGGAATTGAACAAAAATGTGAAAAATAATCATCATCCCCTAGTTACTACCACGGGCAAGTTTAGACAAATAATTATATAGACTTAAATACTTAGCTACCAATAAGTTAATATGGTTAAACAACTAGTGTGCACTCTAATCAATTTAATCATACAACAATAAACCAGTTATATAAAAAAAACATAAAATACCCAATCAAGATAAGTTTGGAAATAAAACTCGTAATCTCACAGTAATTAACCAAAAGTATCAACTTGATTAAACCAAGAATATAGTTTAGTTGCTAGTTGCCCATAATGGGTTATAAAGAGAGAGTTTTCTATGAATGGTAGCTACTCAAAGGTGGGAATCTCAAAATAATGTCCTAACTCAATATTTATAGCTAAAACTAAGGTTACATCACATAGTCATCAGCCCCACATGACCACGTGAGTTATTGAAATAAGTTTCATGGTTTTTTGCTTAATTTTACATTGTTTAGAGCTTTAAAGAATAAGCATTACATGGTTTGCTAACTAGGGCACATAGCCATGTGCCTTTGTTCTTCATTCTATGTTACAACTTTATCGCCCATGTACACTATTGCCTTCAAGCTATGTTGAATCCTTTCTTTCCATGTAGACTTCTTTTTCTTTGAGAGACATAGGCATGCAACTTTACACTACAAACTATGTGCAATCCCTATTGCTCTTGTAGGCTTATTTTGCTTTGAGAGACATAGATGTGTGACTATACACTACAACCCTTACGCAATACCTATAGCTCTATGTGATCTTTTTATTCTTGGGCTTTGCTAGGCTAAGACACCCATATGACTATGTGGAATTTCTTTCTTTAGCCATGTAGAATGCTACCGCCCATGTAGCTTGCATTGCTAAGAAATCCACATGATTTCTTCCATCATGTCACCTAACTAATAGCTTTTTTCTTTGATATTTCACACAACTGTGTGACTATTTGATGCCTTTTTGATCACTTCTCTCTTTCTTTCTTTGGTTTTGGGTTTTCTTTCTTTGATTTGTCGTTTTTCCTACAAAACCTAAAATCATCATCTTATTCTTAAATAACATGATATAATACAATATATACTAGAAAGTTTAATGCAATTAAAGCATGAAAATTATGCTAATTATGTATCATTAAATACCATTACACTTAAACTTTCTAGTCCTCAAGCAAAACAAATGAAATAAAATCTAACTCACTTTAATAGGAATCACGGTTATATTTAGCACATACAACAAGCTTTTAAACCCCTAGGTTACCCATAGTGGACAAGTTATGTCTTGTGAGGGTTTTCAAATGATAAACCCGTAAAATCATCCAAACAAATCTTATGCTAGTATGATTGTTCTTCGAACATTGATGCTCACTTCAAAATTCAATAAAATTTAATACTTAACTCGATCATGATGAAGATATTATTATCATATCAATGCATGTCTCTAAATTGATTTATGCATCCTCATAACTAAATATAATTCAAGCATGTGACACAAACTCTACCTTTACCTCTTTTTCATCGCTATAAGCAAGGTAATAAATCGAGATTTTCTTTAATCAATTTTTTTTTCATTTTAAGCATCCCAAATTCTTTTTCATTTCATAGTTTTAATAGGTTTTTCCTAAGTTGTCATTTTTCTTTTGATGTGACCATCGACATTTGTGATGAAGGTAATCGGTTATTTAATAAGTCATCAACCTAGAGTGCTTTGCATACTTATAATTTAAATTGTCATTTGATGTAAAAGTAAATATTTATGATGAATACTCTTAGTTACTAAGCAACTCAAATCATTGGAGTAAAATTTTTAATTACTTACTCCAAATTTTTTTAATGGAATGCTTTTTTAGATTCCTTTCGAAATAAAAATTAGAAAATCTCATTTATTTAAACTATACTTAAGTCTAGTTTCTAAAGGGTTTTCTTTTCTTTTAAAGTCAATGATACTACTTAAATTATGTTCAATCATAAAGTCGGATAAAGCTTTCTAGCATGTATGTATTTCTACAACAATAATATCCCAAATATTTTCATTCATCTCATCATATTTCTTCGAATTCAAGATCAAACATTAATTTGGAAGAACATCATACTAAACATGGCATTTTTTTTATTTTTTTATAACGGTATAAAATAAACATACCAATTACATAAACTAAAAGAAAACAATAAAAATCTAAATGCTAAACACACCCCCACACTTGAATTGGAGATTGTCCTCAATGTACAACATAGATTATCAAATTAAGACAACATAAATAGATAAAGGAATAAGAAAGCAAATCTAGATGGTTGCTTTTAGAACGGAGGCAATGGCAGTGGTGGAAAATATGTTAAGAAGGCATTATAGAGGTGGCCAATTTAGGCATTGACCATGTAAAAGTCGACTATGACATTTTTCTTTGCTGTCTAAATTTGCTCACTAAATTGATCAAATTGGGTGTTGGCATTGTTATTCATGGTCTCAACCCATTCATTCAATGCGTCAAACTACTTATTGACATTGAGATGGAAGTCATTCAACTGTGAAGCTAATTGTTCCAACCTTTCCAAATAGCCACTTAAGGCACCTCGCTTATGGAACCTCTTTGATTATGGGTTGTGCCTCATCATCACCCTCTTGATCACCGTCACTTTCTTCCTTTTGCCTCTCTCTTAGTTGGCCGGATGAAGTATATTTCCCCTTTATTTTCCGAGTAACTCGATCGTAATTAATTTCTCAAGGATCATATGCTCGAACCCTTTTGTTAGTGTTCATGTTGTAGTGTTTCTATTGAACATCTTCACTTTCTTAGTAATGTGGGTGATGAACCCATCTATAACAATTTCACCATTAGTCCACTTCTTGATCATCAAGAAGTAGTCGATCAGAATATAGGTCAAACCTACCTTCAACTTGTGGTAACAAAAAACTAGATTGCCAACTTTAACTTGCTCACCACCCCATTATTGTTTTTCCAACCACATAATGTCCATGCTAGGATACGGTGTATGTATCAAATAGTTGGGTTTAAGATTGTTGATGCTTTCGACTATGATGGATTATACACTTCCTTCTATAAACCCATGATTTCTCTCGAAGGATTTCTCTAATCCAACGGGTGATTGCTTTTCACCATTATACGACCAACCAAACATGTCCGCTTCCGATTTCCACATCAATGCTAACTTTCTTATTTTTTATTCAAAATGTGAAATAGTCATAAGCCTATTGCTTGATCCTCCCGTAACATTTCCAATTGAAATGAACTTAAGAACTTTAGGGTCAATTCCTTGTAAGAAGGTGCATCAATTCTCAACAAACTTACCCACCATATACTTTCTAGCATCCCCTCACTTCTCTCAACAATCCCACTATTTCTAGTGCTTGAAGATCCACATACCGTTTGACACAACTCACCATTCTTCAAGACATTATAATGTAATTCTTGAGCTTTGTCTACAAATTTAATTTTGGAGTAAGATCGAGATGGGCGACCTTCCCGATGAGTTGCTATCTTTCGATGGGTTTCATTTTCTAGTGTTCCCACTTACTTTTCCTTTGAAGGATCATGTATCATATAGAAGTATGAAATAAAATAAAAATTTCCTCCATCTAATGGGCTCAAGATAATGTCATTGAATCAACTAATCATATATTTATGAATTAAAGCTCTAAATAAAGAATTACCTCTTATAGTGCGAGTTTAAACCTTTATAGAA